GGGCCGTCGAGGCGACCAAAGGCCGCGTCTAGCCACCCAGCTGGCCCCAACCCTCTCGGACCCGTCGACCACGGCCCCGAAGAGGCCGCGCTACCCCCCGCGACGGCCTCTGGGAGGCAAACCCGCAAGCCCACGACGTCGGCCTGCAGTCGCTGCTGGGCCTGCAGTCGCTGCCGGGCCTTGCGGGCGCGCTTGTCCTTCCTATTCCAGGATTTTCCCCTGGTGCGCAGGCGGCGCGAGGAGAAGCGCCGGGGCGTTCTCGCGGAGTCGGGGCGGGGGAAGGGGCACTTGGCACCGCGTGTGCATATATATATATATATATATATATATATATATATATACATATATAGCATGTAGTTTATAGGAATGCGCGGGCCAGCCTATATGATAGAGGCTGGCCCGCGCCGCCCGCCCCCTCGTCCACGAGCGGGGCGGGCCCCTTCCACGATGCGAACCAGAGGCGCGAGGCCGCGCGACTCCGCCCCCCCTGCGCCGCGAGGGCGGCGGGCGCGGGGCCGCGCGAAGCGGTGTGGCTGAGCCACAAAGGCTCCAGTTGAACGAGGGGTCCAGCAAATGCGAGCGCAGGAGGGGGGAAACAAGGGGGGAGCAGGAGGAAACAAATGATGAGCAGGAGGCGGGTGCCCCCGAGGGTCGGGGTGGCGGAGGTCATGCGCGCGACGCGCGTGATGGAGAGCCTGCAAAACTCAAGTCGGTGCCAACGGGCCATGCCGGCCCCTCTCAGGGCCCTGTTGGGAGAGGCCAACCGGCTTAAGGATTGAGGTGATGGTAAGTTGGTTAGGATGATTCAAGGGTGGGAAGATGGTCGTGAGGGGGGGTTAGGGGGTGGGTGGGCGCGAGGGTTACGAGGGTTACTAAGGCATTAAATCAAGAGAGATGGCAGGGCGGGCGCGGGGCTGGCGGGGGGATGAGGGGGCTCCAAAAACAATGGAGGTCACTTCCACAACAAGGGGGGGGGGGGCGGGGGGGGGGGGGGGGGGGGGGAACTTCCAAAAAAGGGGGGAACTTCCAAAACGCAAGGGGGGGCGGGGGGGGGGGGGGAACGGAGCCCCCCCCCCCCCCCCAAGTTGTTAACAGCACACGATAAAAATTCTACGTTTCGAAAATATATTGGGTGTGTTTTTTTGGGTCGTCTTCGGGCGTTTGGGGCCTCTTGGGCCATCGGAGGGGTTGTTCGGCCACCCTCCTGACCGATTGTGACCCGCTACCTGGGACAAGCAGGTGTTTCCCAGAGCTCCGAATAGCCCGGAGAATCTTCTGCAAGGGCGCCCATGAGACCCCCTGGGCCAGGGATCTGGGGGGCAAGGTCCAGGTTGCAAAAATGTATGAAAACTATATATGTGTATATACACGCGTGTATGTTTATATATGTATATAAATATAAAACTAACTGTCACCTAAACAATGCCAGTATTTAGGGGCTCTCACCGACTTTCTGAACAACTGGGCCTGGCTGGCGGTCTGGCGGATCCATGCTCGCTGTCGCCGCCCGTCGCCACCTCGTCCCCGCCGGTCGTCAAGGCCTGGTTGGCGGTTTGGCGGCTACGTGTTCGCCGTCGCTGCCGCGTCGCCGCCTCGCCGCCGCCCGTCGTCTGGGCGTGGCTGGCGGTCTGGCGGCTATATGCTCGCCGTCGCCGCCCCGTCCCCGCCCCGTTTTCACCCGTTGCCGCGGCCTGGCCGTCGGCCTGGTTGCCGCGCGGTCGCCGCCCCGTTGCCGCGCAACATAGACTGCTGCACCAAATCGGTTCTCCTCAAAAAAAATGCCCCCATCGACCCCCTGGGGTTAGCCCCGCCGCGCTCCGGTTGGATAGTCATATATGATCGCGGTTCTTCGTTCATTTTCCCTAATGACCACAGACCATCCCAGGCCAGCCGGCATCGACCCCCCCCCCCCCCCCCCCCCCCCCCGCCACCTTTCTCAAAACATATTCTGCGCGCACACTCGTTTATCAAACATCACCAATGTCCAAAGATCCGTTGCGACAGAATTACGCACTCCGCACGCGCGCGTTGTCGCGCGCGCATGCCGTAATTCCTCAAAAATACGATGTGTCGGAAGGAATTCAAGATCGACTGTCCAAAACACATCTGAAACACATGGTTTCGCAACGCGGATTTCCCAGAAAAAAAAAGCACGCTTTTGCGACTGCTTAAAAAACCATAAGTTCTTTGTTTTCAAAATCTTAAGAACAAATGGTACCAAACGGGTTTAGCGCGCGCATGTCGGAATCGTTCGAACACCCCTACGCGCGTGCCGTCGCGAAGATCCTCTGCAAAACATAAAGCGGCGTGCATGCGCGCGCGTCGTCGCGCGCGCGTGCCAGAATCCTTTCGGGGAAAAAAAACATGCGGTTTCGGATGGGAATCAATATTTAAACAACGCGGAATTTCAAACCAACGCGTGTGCGCGCTGTTGCGACTTCGTTGGGAAACCACACAGTTTTTTACAACGCGTTTACCACGTGCTACCCAGCGGGCTTCGCGTGCGCGCGTGTCGGAATCGTTCGAGCGCCCTTGCGCGCGCGCTGGGGTGGCACGATCCGCGTCAAACAATGCCATGCGAGCCACTCTCGGGCGTTTGCCGCGCGCGCATTTCGGATTCCTTCTCAAAAACCTTAATCACCTACGCGAAGACGCCGTCATCGTCGCCGGCGCGATCGGCATCGGCGTCGTCACTGGCCGCGCCGCCGTCGCTGCCAGCATCGTCACCAACATCGCCACTATCGTCATCACCGTGTCTGCGAAAGTCGACGTTGCCATGATACCGCGCCCGCCATTTCGCCAACTCGCACTCAAGTGCCCGCTGGGATGCGCCGAGCTGTCAGCACCACCGCGGCCGCGTCGTTCGCGCCATACTTCCTGGCGGCTGCGCGCGCACATGCGCGGGCTGGCGCGGCCGCACAGAGGCACCAGCCAGCGCTAAGCATTCATCGCGATCGCCGCCTCATGAGATTTGTAAACCACGTTGGGGGTGGGCAAGTGGGACGTTTGCACGAGCAGTGGAGTGGGCCACTCACAGCGAACAGAAATTAATTCCAAACCATAAATTCTTTTTCTAAAATAAAAAAGCGATACCGCCCCCCCCCCCCGTTAAAAACTCTCTTGTCGTATGGCAATTTACGTGTGATCCTGACCCAATGCCCATCCGACCTGTGAATGCATGACATCCAAGCCACGCCGGCATCGCCACCCCCACCCCCCCCCGCCATCCTCTGCAAAAAAACTGCGCGCGCGCACTCGTTTATCAAACATCATGACTTTCCAAAAACCCCCAAGGAACAAAATATGACGAAGTGCGCACGCGCGCGTCGTCGCGCGCGCATGCCGGAGACACGGGGTTTCGCAGCACGGATTCTCAAATCACAACAAAAATGCGCGCGGTCTTGCGAATTCTTGAAAAGACCAAAGTTGTTCAATCGTTCCATAAAGTACCACCAAGCGGGCCCCTCGCGCGCATGTCAAAATCTTTAGCGCGCCCTTGCGAGGGTGCCGTCGCGAGAACCTCTGCAAACGTTGAAACGAAAGGCACGCGCGCGCGTCGTCGCGCGCGCATGCCGGAATCCTTCGAAAACCTTCGGCTTCGGAAATATGTTAAACTCAAATGTCAAAACAAAAAACATGTGAAACAACGAGGTCTCGCAACACGGATGTCCAACAACAGCTTGCGCGCGCGCTCTTAATCTTAAAGGAACCATGCGGTTTCAACATTTTCATAAAATGCTACCACACGGGCTCCGCGCGCGCATGTCGGAATCGTTTGAACGCCCTTGTGCGCGTGCTGGGGTGGCACGATCCGTGTCAGATAATACCATGCGAGCCACTCTCGCGCGTTTGCCGCGCGCGTATTTCGGATTCCTTCCAAAACCTTCATCACCCACGCGAACACGCCGTCATCGTCGTCGGCGTGATCGGCATCGGCGCCGCCACCGCTACTATCACCATCCTCGTATCTACAATTATCGGCACCATCATCGCTACTTTCATCGCCATCGTGTCTGCAATTATCGACGTTGCCATGATACCGCACCCGCCCAAGTCGCCGGCTCGCACTCAAGTGCCCGCTGGGATGTGCCGAGCGGTCAGCACCACCGCGGCCGCGTCGGTCGCGCCAAACTACCTGGCCACTGCGCGCGTGCGCATGCGTGGGCTGGCGCGGCCGCACAGGTGCACCAGCCAGCGCTAAGCACTCATCGCAATCGCTGCTGCATGAGGTTTGCAAACCAAGTTGCGGGTAGGTGGGTGGGATGTTTGCGCGAGCAGTGGATTGGACAACTCACTGCGAGTAACAATTATTTGCGCCACGTGGATTGCACCGCGTACATTATACCGCATGAGCTGCACAACGTAAATCGCACAACATGGACTGCACCACGCTGACATTAACACCACGGACATTGCACTGCAGAGGTTCTCCTTCTCTCAGAAGGAATTCGGATGTATCATCCCCCAAAGGCCAGGATTATTGATACCCCTGGGGATGTGCAATAAAGGTATGATCCTGCGCCATCGCTCATTCTGAATATCAGGTCGTGCCACCATCGCCAGTCCAACTTCGCCCCCCCACCCAGCATCCTCTGCAAAAAACACGACGCACGCACACGTGTAGATCAACCGTCGTCAATTTCCAACAATCCCTTGCGAACGAAAGGACGATGTGACAACGCGCGTGTCGTCGCGCGCGCATGCCGGAACAAATCAAAAACCATATGACTCGCGAAGATTGCAAGATCGAGTGCCCCAATAACATATGAATAGCACATGGCTTTGCAACGTGATTTGTTCAAAAAGAGTCTGCGCGGTGAAACGGGTATTAATGCTTCGAGACCACATGTTGACACTAAGATTATCAGGAAGTGTTAGGCAGCATGGGCCAGATCACCCCAAATAAGGGCATCTCGGAGCCCAAAACTTCGAGGACGTCTCACTCGGAACGATCTTCCTCCTCCTCCTCCTCCTCTTCCTACTCCTCCTCCTCCTCCTGCCGTCTCCCTGAGCGCTCTCCGCCGGCATGCTGCCCGAGACGCGGGCTGCAAACGCTTGCTTTCCATCGGCTCCTTCCTTGTCCTCCTCATCATCCTCCCCCTCCTCCTGCTCCTCCTCCTCCTCCTTCTGTTCTTCCCCTCCCCCTCCTCGGTCTGATTCCCCCTCCTCCTCCTCCTGCTGCTCCTCCTCCTCCTCCTTCTCCTGCGCCTCCTCCTCGTCCTTCTCCTCCTCCTCGCTCCCTTCCCCCGGCCGAGCCGAGCCAGGCGGCACGGTGAGCCAGGCGGCCGAGCCGAGCCCGCGACGGTGCGGGGGTCGGTCGAGCCAGGGACGCACGTATTACGACTAAGTTGATGTTCGCATTCATCGATTCAGAATCTTATTGCCAATAGACCTCTACGAACCAGCATCACCATCTCAATCCTACGTAAAGTCGAGATAGGTTTGACTCCTATACGTTTTGTATAGCTCTTAAAGGCTATTCGATCATCAAGCGTTTCTAGCTTTTCAGCAATTAGCTAATTCCACTTCATATGAACATGAAAAAGCTCCTATCGAAGTTCTATCTCGGTTGGCTGTGACCGGGTGTCATTCCTCGCGCCTTTGATCGAAGTGTATTCTCGCCCCCTAATTGTTTTCTGCAATTGTGTTGGTCCACTTTGGTACCCGTTCAACTAATCGAGCACGACAAAATATTCGGGCCATGGGGGCCAAGTGCAAATACCCATATTCACAACTAACCGAGGCCCCCACAAAACGACCCCTGAGGCCGAGGTTCTGGATACATCCTAAATCCCTACCTCTGGATCCTGGAGTCCGGCACCGCTAACCGAAAACTAATCCAAAGGCCTGAGCCATATTCGATTCCACTCATGGTGTCACAGAGAGCACCAACTGCTGACGGGGTCCATTATAGAGGACACATCGAACGGGGGCATCGGACTACAGTCTGCGGTCGGAGCCCCATCTCGTGAGCAGATCCTCGCAGACAACTCTGGCGCTCTGGCGAACGAGAACGGCATTGCATCGGGGGATGCGCGTGTCAGGCTCTCCCTCATCGATTCCCTCATGGACATCGGCGACTTAAAAGGTTGTTGCGACGCCGTCCATGGCACAAAGCACCCCCTGTGGGGGGCCCAGCCAAGAGCCAGACGGAGCCAGCCTTGCACAAGGCCTCCACTGCGCCACGCGCGGACTCGGCGACCGCGCCGCCCAACGCCCACCCTCCTGCACGTCGCCCTCCCGTCGCTAAACTCTGGAGGGGGGAGGAAACTGCACAGGCGTCAACTCACGGAGGTCAGTGCCGATCTTTTGGATCGGCGCGGAGCCCCCGCTGCCCCCTCCTGGCGCGCGGTGAAGGCGCCAGGGGCGGCGCCGGAGGCGCCGCCACGAGGGCCCGGCGCAGGTCCAAACATCTACGCGGAGCCCTGAGAGCTTGTCTTGACGCAAGTGTCTCCTTCCTCGGATCTCCCCTCCGCGCCCCATCGGTACTTCCCCTCCGCGCCCCATCCGTCCACCCTCGCGGCATACCCTCCCCCCCCATCGGTACTTCCCCCCCCCGCTGCCTCCTCCACCAGGCGCCCTCCGCGCCCCACTCTGCGCATCCCCCCCCCGTCGCTGCTCGTGTGTGTTAGCAAAGGGTGGCCGGGAAGGGGGGGAGGAGCGCACTATGATTCCGCGGCACGTGCGCGGACGGGGGGGGGACGTGTTACGCAGCTGCTCGGTCCGACTGTTGGGAGACTGAAGAAACATGTTTTTTCCAGTCTTCGGGTGTCTTCAATCTTCGTTTTGGTTCCATCTTCTCGAGTCTTCCGCTCGGGGAGCCGCGGTCCCTCCGTCCTTCCCGCCAGTGGTGGCCCCTGCTGGATGGTGCTGGCCTCGTCTCTCCCGGGCGCGCCGACGAGGGAGCCAGAAAGAGGGGAAGGGGAGGGGCTCAGCGAATCATGATCCGCGGCGTGTGCGCGGACGGGAGGTGGCCAGGGGACGTGCTGAAAGAAGAACGGGGGCCGCGAAGCAGGTTCGTGTCTCGACGCCAAGATCTGGTCGTAACGACATCGGCGATTTTCTCAGACACCGCGTGGATCCTTCAATCTTAAGCGATCGCGGATTCCCGACAACACGGTTCGTTAGATGTCGGCCGATTGCAGGCCACTGGCGGCATTCACTCTTGAATTCCAGCGCTGGGTTCGCCGTCGCGTCGACACGACCTCTGAGGTCCGACGTCGCGAACAAAATGAGATCGAGCTTGAAAGCACATGGCGTGCGAGATGTAGCTGAGTGGTTGTGTTAGTTCGCTGGCACATAGCATAACACATTCGTGCCCGGCCGAGTGAGATGCTTTTGCTACTGAAAGAGAGGCTGCGGCTGCTAGCTGAGACGATGCTGGCGCCTTAGGATGCCTAGGATAAGGTGCAGACAGCTAGGATTAGCAAGTAGGCAGGGATCAGACTGGGATAAGTAGGTACAGCGTAGGGGATTGCTGAGCGTACCCCGACATAGTGGACGCAGCGCCTGCGTGCATCAGAGATGCTGTTGCAGCTGCATCTGTGTACACCACGGCGCCTGTGTACACCACACCGCACGTGTTCAAGGCAATGCTTGTGTACTACACCTGTGCACGAAGCAATGAATGCGTTCGCCCAAGACCTTAGAAATGGCGTAAACATGTTGAATACACCACAGGCACATGCGTGCGCACAGACACGCTGTCCCTGCAGACCACAACTTGCATACATCTGCGCTAAGCAACGTGTGCTGCTGCAGCGGGGGTAGGTGGGGCGGCAGGCGTTATGATGGCGTCCATAATTCAAAAGAAGCCGAGCCCATCGAGCATAGACTAGTGAAACCTTACGACGAGAGCACTAGACACCACCTTTTTATGGCAATTTTGAGCCAGGTCGATCTGTGAGGGTCCCGGGGCCCGAGACTGAGCGAAAACGCGCGGCTTGAAAAACTGCAACGCCCGGATCTCGTGAACGCCCCCGCCCCCAAGTCCTCTTCCCCCCTTTCGACGCCTCCTCGCCACTCCAATCACTCCAACGGCTCTCTTGAGGGGGAAACGATAGGGGGCGGCCGGCTAAACATCGGCCTGGATTCGGCGATGCATTGCATCGCCGATAGATTGGCGACAGGCCCCGGATAGCGAATCCGAACGTTCCTAGGCGGGGTGGGGCTATCGGGCTCTTACCGGCGATGAATGTGAAAATGCCCAGAGAGACCGCTGTAACGGTTCCCAGGGTGCCCACGGGACCCGCGAGAGTGCATGCCCCTGCGCTCGCAGCTCGGATACGGGGGCCTGAATCGCGGCAGCCCGCGGAGGCAACCGAGAGGGTGAGGTACTGGATGCAGGCGCGTACGAGTTGCTTGTAGGGAGCATCCGGCGACGCCGACGGCCACCCAGTGCCTTCCCCAAACTTTTGCAGCACCCCCCTTCGTCTGGTTGGAGAGGGGAGCCCTGGCGGCAACTGGTCCTGGACCTGGTGCTGTCCCCAAGACGTGCGCTTCTCATCCCAGATCGATCTTGCGCGGTCCCTGGGTCCGACAGCAACTCTGAGAACCCCCAAAAGACGAAAACCACCACGGCCCCGTTTCCTGCAGGACACCTTTTCCCTACCAGGCGAATCCATCCACCCACCCTCTGCCCCTCTGGCCCTTTTCCAGCTTCGCTCCCTCCCTCACGCGCGGCCGCCCCCTACCCCAAGAGGCGCAAGGCTGGCTTGAACCAGCCGGATCCGATCACCATCAGGAAGCGATCCCGCTATATCAACACCCACCGATCACGCGGGCACTCAAGCGGCACAGCCCCCAAGGCTTGAAAATCAGTTGTGCCGATGCATAGCCCCAGGTGGATACAATCCCCCCAGGGCAGAAAATGCAAGGCTGCACATGCACCGCACCTTGAAAATTTGGTCGAGGTCGTTCTCAGAGGTCCGCGCTGTAGGTGTTGCAAACGAAGAAATTAAGATCGGCATGCGAATATGGACGTGTCCACGGACACTTCGGCATCGTGTGCACGCCATCGCGACTGAGATGTACTAACCCGTACAACCGTTGCTTCTTGTAACGCACTACACCGGAATCAAGACCCTACGCACCTACGCTCCATGTCCATGTACATGGTCAACACGGCATGGCAACACTTCCGCAATATGAAATCCAGTCACGGCACAGCACAGCACGGCAAATCCCACCAGCCCTCTGGGCGTTGGTAGTTTAGAGCGTTTCCTCTTCCACCCCTCCATCTTCCCCTTCGGCGAAGGGTTTACACCTCCCCCTACCCCCTCCCCGTGGACCTGGACGGGGGGGGCCGCGAGCGGTCAGAGCGTCCAAGACGGCCTCGGCGAGGAAGCCTAAATCATTGATCTTACTACGTTTTTGGCTCGAGTTTGGCCTCCTGGGGGGGCAACCCTAATTGAAGCTCCCCTCTTCTTTGATCGATTTCCTCCAAGATGGCCCCAAGAAGCGCCCAGAAGGCCCCAAGAGGCCCCCAGGAGGCCCCCAAGAGACCCCCAAGAGGCCCCAACAGACCCCCCAGAGGCACCCAAGATGCTCCAAGAGGCCTCGGCGAGAATGCCAAATCACTGATTTCATTGAGGTTTTAGCCACATGTTGGCCTCTTCGGGGGGGCACTGATTAAAATGACTCCAAGAGCGCCTGGGAGAGCCAAAATGACCTCCAAGATGGCTCAAGATATCCCAAGATGTCTCATAATGGCTTCCTCTGTGTGCTGCCCACTTCTCTGATCGAATCAATTCCTCTGGGCATCGTTTCTGGATGGGCTGGTGGGGATTCGCGAAGCGTCAGCAATTTTCTGCTTTCCGATTACTCAAGCACGGCAGGGCACCGAATGCCGGTACGCCGCGGCACAACAACAGGCACGGCACGGCTCGCATTCTAAAACGCAGGCGCGGCCCGGCGGGGGGGGAGCTTCTTCGCGTTCTAAGCCAAACACAACACGGCACGGCATGCGGCCACGGTGCCGTGCGGCACGCGGGTCACAAGTTTGTATCATTTCAAAACGTGAGCACGGCACGGCAAGACACGGTGGGCGGTCACTGCGAGGTGGGGATTTGTCGATCCACACCGCAATGGGCCC